TCTGTAACTGAGTAACGATCATTTCTTGGCTTGGCAAGCTATTATAGGAAGTTTGTCAGGAACTTCTCATTGCTCGCTGCACCAATGAGAAGATTGCTAAAGAAAGGAACAATATAGTTGTGGGACAAGGATTGTGAGTCCTCATTCAAAAAGGTAAAGTACGCTCTGACTCACTACCCTGTTCAAAAAATTGTTGATCCATCTCTTCCCTTTGTTGTCACCACTGATGCAAGTCAGTATGGGATTGGCGCAGTGCTTCAACAAAACGACGGCAATGGTTATAGACCGATTGAGTTTATGTCTGCACGATTGCCATCTGAAAAGGTTGCCAATTCTACCTACGAAAGGGAATTGTATGCGTTAGTCTGTGCCTTAGACACCTGGAAACACTATCTATTAGGGGGACACTTCACTGTGTATTCAGACCACTCTACCCTGAAGTGGATAAAGACACATCCTAGGCTCTCTGATAAGCTAGTACGATGGTCTGCATTTATTGACACTTTTGATTTTGAGTTGAACACTATCAAAGGTAAGTCTAACGTGGTTGCAGATGCATTGTCTAGAAGATGTGATTTCTTTGGTGCCATTGTTTCTTACCTAGACGTTGGGAATGATCTGAAAGATAGAATTCGCCAAGGATATGTTAATGACCCAATATGGAAACCTATCATGGATGTCCTTGCGAAAGACCCGAGTCTGCTTCCCAACTATAAGATAACTGATGATTTGCTTTTCTTGCTAGACCAAACTGAACAACGATTGTGTATTCCTCACCAAGAAGAAATAAAAAGTCTGATTATTGGGGAATGTCACAACACCGAAGGTCATTTTGGTTTCAAGAAAACCTACGCTGAAGTTAGAGAACGCTTTGAATGGAAGGGATTGAAAGAGGATGTACTAACGTATATTCGTACTTGTCTTGTGTGTCAGAGAAACAAACCCTCACATGAGAATCCACTTGGTCTTCTCAGACCGTTACCAATTCCAAACGAGCCAGGTGAGTCAATCTCTATGGATTTTATGAGCCTCACCAAAAGTCGGAATGACAATAGCCAGGTAATGGTAATTGTGGATCGTTTCTCTAAATATGCTATGTTCATTCCCTTACCCGCAGAAGCGAGAACGGAACTTGTGATCAAAAAGTTTTAGATGCGATGGGTGACTGAATATGGTTTCCCTTTATCCATTGTATCTGATAGAGATACCCGGTTCACAAGTATGTCATGGCAAAAGCTGATGGAGGCATACGGTACACGTCTGACCATGTCATCAGGTAGACACCCTGAAACGAATGGGCACAGTGAACAAGTGAACCGTTTGTGCCAACAGCTTCTGCGCATGTATGTATACCCGATCAAATAGATTGGGATGAGAACTTACCTAAGATAGCAAGTGCATATAATAGTAGTATTCATACCTCTACAGGACGAACACCTAACGCACTGCATAAAGGGTGGAAACCTAAGCGTCCCATTGATGTATTGATGAGGGACCAGTTTCTTAGGTTACCTCCAAGGACCCGCGAATGCGCAGTATTGTTTCAAGAAGACATTAAAAAGGTAAAGGAGAACTTAAAGAAAACTCGGGACCGAATGATCGAACAAGCTAATAAGCATCGACGACCATCAACGTTCAGAGAAGGTGATTTGGTCTGGGTCAAGTCTAAAGAGTTTTCACTAGAAGAAAATGTCTCTCAGAAACTTCTGCCTGTCTATTTTGGACCCTGGGAAGTTCTTAAAGTGATTGGAGATGCAGAGGGACCATCTTACAGAATTGATATACCCCCTCACCTCAGGACCTATTCTATCTTTCATGCGTCTAAGTTGCTACCTTATGTAGAAGGAGATGAATTCCCTCATAGACCATCTATGATACCGCCAGATATGGATGGTGGATATGAAGTGGACCAAATTATAGAACAAGGGTTCTTCTCTACAGGTGCACGAGGACGACCCCAGAAGCAATTCAAGGTTCGTTTTAAGAGTCAGAAACCATATGAGGACAGATGGTTTAGTAAAAGAGAACTCCTTGAATCTGCTCCTGATATTGTCTCTGCTTATGAACGTGGGTGGAAGTCTTAAATGTTTCTGCGATGGAACTCGAAATTTGGGTCGGCAGGAATGCAGTAACCTTGTTCAGCAGCAGACCGAGGCTCAGAACGTTGCCCCCGGTAAAGCACAGACTCAGTTGTTTGCGCCGGGCTATGTGACCGAGACATGCCCAGCCTGAGTCTGTCGAGGAGGCTGTGTGACCGAACGCAGCACAAAGGAAATTCAACAGTCAAAGTCAACTGTAGAGTCAAAGGTACCGCGCCCAGGCCTATGGTCGGATACACTCACTTGTTGTGTGCAGGTACCCAGACAGCATTCACGGCGGGAGGAATACAGTTTCTGGCCAATCTGGGCCCTCCTTCACCTCGAGATCTGGACGGTGCAGTACTTCAGCACCCAGGGTCCAGACCCCGCATCCACGCTATTTAAGAGTTGACTTCCTGGCTGGAGGACATTCAGTCTTGCGTGAATGCTGACTTCACGCGTGGACTTTGACGCTGTTGCTATGCTGCGACATTGCGACATTATCTTGACGCCGGCTCTATGCTGGTAGAGGAGGACGGCAAGGCGCTGCTGGCTGGCATGGCGCTGGCTGGCGATGGTCTTCTGGGCATGCTGACGTGGCAGCTGCCATGCGCCATTGCTGACGTGGCCGCTGCCACCTGTATATGTTGATGACGTGGCGGGCTGCATGATTGATGAGGCTGTTCTGATTCTTCGTCATTTCGGAAGGGGATCAAGACTGTGGTTATCGAGGATACGTACCTGGTTGATGACGATACTCTTCATTTACTGATGTAGACAGATTGACGTGCCATGTGGCACCTTGAGGAAGAACTTCAGACATTGTATTCAGTCTATTGATTGATGAGGTGGCGAGGAGGAGGGGGAACCCGAAGTAGAAGTGGGCTGTTGTCTTCTTCTCTCTCCTTTGTCTATTCTCCCTCTCTCCTCCTTCATCTGTGAATGATTCTCACCTCATTCTATCATCACACACATTGCGATGGTTTGTCATTTATCAGCAGATCGATAATCATATGGACTGGTAATCTTGACGAGTATCATCACGTCTGGGCTCATTGCACACCTATCACAGAGGTAGAAGATGTCAAGGTCCGTTCGCCAAGATGACCCGCTGGCAGCACCTATCTTCCTCTTCATTATGGAAGCACTAGTGTCATTCCTCAGAAAAAGACCCATCCATAGAACGGTTGTTAGCAGAAGCGGACCAACCAGGCAGGTTCATTCAACTACCCACAACGCTCCTCTTTGCAGACGACGGACAATCTTGATCCGGGAAACCGGACTCGTCGCACTCATGATTGCAATGAGTGCCTTTCAGCTAGCCTCGAAGATGAGAATTAATTGGCCCAAGACAATAGGTTGTTGGCTGACACATGGAGGGGAGGAGAAGGAACACCAACTTGCAAACTACGGAGGAATGATCTGGGTATCCGCAGCAGAACCCCTGAGGTATTTAGAAGTCAGACTGGCGGACACAGGCCCCCAACAATCGATGGCACCGGAAGTGCTGGCGAAAATGCTAACCAAGCTCAGTGCATGGTCAGAAATCTATACATCCTTATTTGGACGGGCTCTCATTTTGAATGCCTCTATATTTTCCATGCTATGGTACGTCCGTTTTCCAGCAGGTGATGCTCCCCACCAATAGATGGAGCCTCTCCCAAGGTGCTAGTGGTGTCTGCTCTTATCAGCACCACTAGCACTGGTGGGGGCGTGTTGAAAAAAAAAAGAAAAAAGAAAAACAGAACGGTATGGACTCCACCAACGCAGATACTAGAGAAGCTTAGAAGGGAGGCAGCAGCCTATCTGTGGACAACGAATCCCACTAAGCAGCACCTCATCTCCAAGGTCGAGTGGAGACAAGTCATCTGATCCAAGAAACGGGGGGAGCTGGGCATACTGGACCCGGAACAGCAACTGAAGGCTCTTCAAACAAATTGGATGCTAAAGCTTATTACTCACCCCCAGCTACCGTGGGTACCACTGGCCATGGAACATATTAGAAAAGTAGCCCTAGTATACCCCCCCCTCCCCCCACAACATGAAGGGAACATTTTGGTTAACGTGTAGGGCCAGGACAGGAAGGGAAGAGGAGGGGGAAACAGACAAGACGGGGGCCAGGACGGGCTCATATTGTGCACAGCTTCTGAAGCTGTGGTTAGGTGATACGACGGCGGGGTGAGAGGTATCGGGGTGGTGGGTGATGTCTGGGAACCAACGGGAGTCTCCCGGTTGTTCACACTCGTCACTTTGTAGCCCCCCATGGGCCATATTCTTGTAAGGACATGTTATGCTTGCCGGTGAGAAGCAACCAGACTGGTGCCCCCCAGAATAGAAGGGGTTGTGTGTGTGTTGCGTTTGAAAAAGAAAAAGAAAAAAACTCTGCACACAGGTCCCGATCTCGAATCTCATGAAGCAGTGAACTGCCAGAACTTACCCCTTGGACCACGTTCTGGATTCAAGCCCTACCCGGGTGTAACACCGTCCAGCTGGACTGACCCTTCCAGCTAGAAAGACATGTGACATATTGGTGAGACAGAGCTGAACATCAAAGCTTTTGCCTCATGTCCTAGTGTTTCTCAGACATTATGAGTCCACAGGGCTGCCCCTTTCCACGTGAATGTTTCACTTCGCAAGTAAAAATAACAGCAACAGAAAGTGATCAGAGGATTAACAAATTTCCATGATGCTCAAGGATGGTGGATCTACAAGCAAAAGGGATATCTCCACTCTAGCTGGCCGCTCAAGGGATTATAGAAATCAGAGGCTCCAGGATTAATCAATTCAAATAAGGCCCACCATATGTTTAGTCAGGCAAATGCAGGTGCTTGACATTAGATATGAATCTTTGTAGTTCGAAATCGTTGCTAATTTCAATCTGCACTGGGGTAATGACCTGAAATGCTTTGTTGACCGCTGCAGGTGGTTTTCTACAGCAAGGATGGCGGAAATCAGCAACAATTTGACTACAGTGGTGACGAGGTGAGAGCAACTCCTCTTGCACTACGAGTTGGTTTCCTGAAAGAAAAGAAGAAAACAGAGAAAATTTACAAGTGAACATTCGCGTTCAAGTGTGCAGGAGCCACAGGAGTATGGACACCTGGACAATAACTGAACGTCCCCATGGATCCAGTGGAGCCTGACTTTCAGAAAACGATTTGCATTATTCACATTGATCTGATGCACTCAGCAGAGCTCTCTGACTGAGAGGAATCGAAGAAGGGACGGGTGATCTGACAGTCAATCCTCCCCTACAGGAAGCAATCGATGTTGTTCAAGGGTCCTTCGGCCTTATGGAGGGACGTGTGGTTGTGAAACGGTATTCACCAATTCGCAGTAGCTGATGCATATCCCAGGGCTCGATCCCTAGTTCCCACCTTACCTGTGTACAGTATCTGTGTCGCCCCCTAGAGTTGAACCTGCGACCTGTGTATTTGTAACAGTGATAGGTTGTCGTAGGGTCCATAGGTAGCCACGGTTCGATCTGTAGACCTGTCGAATAGGAGTCCTAGTCAGGTCCGGAAGTCGTAGCTATAGCTTTCTCGAAGAGTCAGGGTCCAGAAGGGTCAAAGTCGTAGCTGCTACAGGAAAGAAAGGCCAAGTCTACGGCCTTCCGGAAGGTCTGAGTAGTGACCTTTCGGAGTGTCCCACGCTTAGGCTGAGGCAAGTGGGCAAGTGGTAAGGCAAGTGGTGGAGTCTACCCGTGCTGAGTCAGCAGTCCCAGTCCTAGTCCTGGTTCAGTCCAGCAAGTACCGCATGGGACTGTGTGCACTTCGGGCATGGGAAAGGGCCAGACCAGTCCAGCAAGTACCGCATGGGACTGTGTGGCATACTGTGTAGCCACACGGGTCCTGCAGGGCCCGTCCCGGACATTCAGCCTAAAAGCCTAAAACTTAGGGCTTACAGGCCCCGGTCATTTCAGCCTGAAAGCTGAAAAACGAGGGCCTGCAGGCCCTACCCCGTTTCAGCCTATTTCTGGGTCTTTTCAGACCCAGAGTTTTCAGCCTGAAA